GAAGAAACGCGCTTCATAGAGGAAAAGCGCCTTCGCGAGGTGAAGCGTCTCAAGGAGAAGCATCTGGAGGAAGAGAAGCGCCTCATAGATGTGAAGCGGGTCAAGGAAGAGAAGCGCCTCATGGAGGAGAAGCGGGTGGAAGAAGAGAAGCGCCTTGTCGAGGAGCAGCACCTCATTGAGGTGCAGCGAGTCGAGGAAGAGAAGCGCCTCATGGAGGAGAATCGCCTCTTTGAGGTGAAGCGTCTCATAGAGCTGAAGCGTCTTGAGAAAAAAAATAAGCGACTTGAGGAGAGGCGCTTTCGCAAGGTGAAGCTCCTCGAGGAGAAACGTCTCATTCAGGAGAAGCGCCTCGTTGAGGTGAAGCGTCAAGAGGAGAAGGAGCACTTGATGGAGGAGAAGCGTCTTGTGGAGCAAAAGCGCCTCGAGGAAGAGCAGCGCCTCGCCAAGATCGAGCGACAATGGCTCCAGACCGCTACCACCAGCAGCACCACTACTACTGACACCACCACTGCCGCTACCACCGCCGCCACCGCCGCCACCGCCGCCGCCACTGCCGCCACCACCGCCACCACCGCCACCACCACCACCACGTCCTCCAATCCTGTGTGGGGCCCAATAGCTCCGAGCTTTGGAGAAGAGGGCTTCCAAGAAGATAAAGCAAACTCCGGAGTCGCTGAGCCACGGTAAACCACTCTGCGTGTGCGCCCTGTGTGTTTATTTTTGTTATTTATTGCCATGCTTCTCACGCAGCATCAGCCTAACTCGGTCTCAAGACTTTTTTTCAGGAGGATCCTGCCAAGTTTGCTCGCATTTTTCAAGAAAGTTGCTACTGTTTGCGATCCAAATTGAACAATTTGCATTGCTTGTGTGGGTTTAGTAACAGGGAGAAAGCTGCAGAACATTCCCAGAACAGGTGGCTGCATAATCCACACGGAGAATGTGGCCAAACGTGGAAATCAAACCCAGGTCAATGTTGCTGTGATGCACAGGTGCTCAAGCCCTGTCGCGCTCTCAAAATTCACAGACACTGCAAACCCCACGTGTACATTCCGCTATACTGAGGACAGATTTATTTTTCATAACTGGTTTCTGGGTTAGACCACATAACGAAGTGGGCATATCTTCACCATGTAACCCTCCATCCACTGTGAGATTTTCGCTGTCTATCGCCTGTTTCCAGGCCAGGTACCAAGTCGCCTTGTAATGCACAGCGACAGCTACCACTGAAAGGGGTGTCCAATTTAAAACGCGATGAGATGAGAGATGCGAGAGGCTCATCGCATGCAATGCACTGAGATGTCTTCGATGTCAAGGGAGGTGGCTCTCTCGACCACAAATCACTGACGGACACTTTTTTGAAATCGTGGATGTGTTGAAGCGACCAAATGGTCGTGCACTCATTCTTCACCATTACAGTTCAGATCTTGCTTCCCGCCTTGGCTATTATTGCTGCTGCATTGACCACACAGATCCACACCCATTCCGTCACAGTGAACGTTCAGGATCTCTATCGATGCCATTTGAAATGCTTAAGACATTTTGTGCAAGGGGTCAATTAGAATATACAAATATAAAATTTTCAATCTAGATTTGAAGTTTTCGTGACTACAGGGATCCATACTCTTTGGTTTTATCGGTAAATTCACGTCGGTATGAAATAAAATAAATTAAATTAAATCACGACGTTTCGATGGCCATGTCGTTATTGCAAGAACGTTTCTTGCTGTGGTTTTCCCACCTGATGATGATTGCTTGTGTTGCAATCGAAACGTTGTGATTTAATTCATTTTCTTTTATACCGACGTGACTTTACGGAAAGAACCAAAAAAATGTCACTTCAAATTATTCAGCTAAATTTGCACAGCAACGCCACCCACTACTGTGAAACTACAGCTGTCTGTGTGATAGCCTGGCGCCATGAGAATGACAGCACCAATACTAAGCACACTCACTGGCCATGTCGTTATTGCTGTTTCTATTCAGCTCGAATTAATCCGCCACACATTCCACCCACGGACGATGGGAAGATGGCGATGTCTGCCGTAGCAGCAAGGTGGAACGGTGTCGTGTTTGACAGACAACCATCACAGTTTTACCATGTCTAGTGGTGGTCTCCCAGTTACAGGTTGAGTCAAGACTAAGAATATGCAGTCTATTCATAGTCTTAAGCCTCACCTTACCATATTAATAAAAGTATGCGGCCCTTGCCCCACCACCTTCTCCAACCATTATATAAACGGAGTGGTAGCTCCTGCAATCTCTCATTTACTTGATACAGCTGTCGTGGCTGTGACGGTACCACCTGAAGACGGAAGCTTGTGTTGCCTCCGAAACGTCGTGATTTTTATTTTTTATTTTATTTTACTTTTTAATGTTTTTTACCTACGTGACTTCACCGAAAAAACCGAAGAATATGAATCATTGCAGTCACGAAAGCTTCAAATCTAGAACGGTGTCGTGTTGTCTCTTCACAGATCTGTGCCAGCTCAGCCCTCCTCCTCACTCGTCCAGGCCTTTGAAGTGAAGACAGAGGTTGTGGAGAAGGAGACGAAGCAAGAGGTGAAGGAGGAGATGATGGAGGATGAGGTAGAGACAGAGGATGAGGAGAAATCGGAGGAAGAGAAGGCAAAGGAGGACGAGATTGTGATGGTGACAATGGAGGAGAACACGGAGGGAGAGGAGAAAGACAATACGGAGATGGAGGACAAGGAAACAACAAAGGATGAACAGATGGTCGTGGTGGAGGACATGGAGACGACGGGCAAAGGGGAAACAATGGTGGTGGAGGAGGAAGAGAAGACGGTGTTGGAGATGGTGGTGCCGGAGGTTGAGGAGGAGATGCAGGAGGAAGAGATGGTGCTAGCAGAGGAGAAGAAGATGGAGAAGATGGAGGTGGCGCAGGAAGAGGAGGTAGAGGAGATGGTGGTGGAGGATGAAGAAGAGGGGATGGAGGAGGACGAGACGGAGGAGAAGACGGAAGCGGTGCAGGTGGAGATGCACGGAAAGAAGAGGAAGCGAGAGGGTCTCGCTCGCGTGGCGAGAGCGATCGCCTCACTCCTCCGCCGCGTGCTGCTTTGTGGTGGCAGGTCCACCGCCCAGTAGGGGTGGTGGCGGTGGGCGTGCATCAGTGCCGACCGTGACCACTATCACCACACTACCCGCACACCCCGTGATACTCGCTACACACACCACACGGTTCCCCAGAGAGACGGTGCAACGTTCAGGTCCAGAATACCGAAGTATACCGGGAATCACCTGTACTTAAAAACACGTAAATTGATAACACTATAAACAATAACACTAAACATTAAACGACAAAAAAAGCTACCAACTGGTTTTATAATTTATACCACCATAAACGGAGGTACGGTATTTTAATTTCATTAGAAGTATTATAATGGAACTCTACACATGTTTGTTAATTGTCCGTTCAATCGAACCGACGGTCGGATATGTGAACTGTGGGGGTCGAGGGTAAGAATGGCATTCAAATTTTAGAATGACAATTTGGTCGTTTTAGAAAATTACTGTACTTGAATGTATGTTATGTGCAAATGCAAATTGTTAGTCGTAAATGCGAGGGAGGGGTTAAGAGGTGCACGTTTAATCCAGTGTTAACATTTATTTTAGCATCATATTTAAGGACACTGTTGTTGATAAGAATTCGTCTGGACATGTTATGTGCCTTGTTCTACTCGATCAACCAAAATTAGTACAATGTCGGTCATACAGGAGTGTGATTTCATTCATGAGTAGTATTCACAGAGCCCCGATGACACTAACCTACCTAAAGTTATGGTTAAAAAAGTAATCTTGAGTGACTTAATTCTGAGCTCAGACATGATCATCGCAATCATTTCCAAAGACGTGTGGGGTCCTGCGAGAGCAGGTCCCGACTACAAACAGCTGGGCAGCAGAATCGGAAGTAGCTGCGTTGCCCTCGAAATGTTATGTTGCTGCTGTTGTTGCTGCTGTAGTTGCTTCTGTTGCTGTAATAAACGCAGGGAGGTGGTGTTCCGTGATGGGATGACGCCTTTGATTAAAGCCTCTGTTCAAACTCACCCGATTGACGCCCTTGATCGTCGCATTTTATCAACTCTGATATTGTAGACTCTCACATGTTAAGCTCTATCATAGTGAAACATAATATTATAACCTATGAACTACAACCTATCCATTGTAACGCTGTAAAAGAATATTACCTATTGGGTTTCACTCCCTCGTCGAGAAGGCCGCTCTCTTCCTTTTCTAAAGTTACATGCTAATTTCCCTGCATTCACTTTAAATCGAGGACAAAGTTTTTCCATTTATTCAAAATAAGCGCACAAATACACACTGAGATGCACTTACATATTCATGCATGAAGCACAATCGGCACATTCCTCTTCGGTATGTTAATAGACATGCGGATTGTGCCTTTCAAAATTAACAATCGAATGCAAATATCCTGAAAGACAAAGGATTGGATCCTAGGCGGGGAGTTATAAGGCGGCTCAGAAGCAGAGCTCAATGCCATTTCGAGAGGGAACTTGATGAGGTTGGACGCTCGACTCGTCGCTCTGCTGATCGCCCTTCAACCGCGAGACAACGCAGCCTGGCGAGCACAATTGCTGTGTCGACAGTTAGGCGACTTTGCGTCGGGAGAGTTCGTGGCGACATCTTCAGACGGGTTCCAGACATCGATTTACCGTGAATCTCCAAGTAAGTGTCTATTTTCGCGGATAAACTCTTAAACGTGTTCGTCGTCAAATTAGCGGGATTTTTTTTGCGTCTCGGTTAGACGCGAGTGTCGTTCTTGTTATAGCAGTTAACAAAATCCAAAACTCAACGCTAAACATCCTTGCGGCCGATAGCGTACTTTTAACTCGATAACACCGCTGCTGTTACTACGCTCACATGGAGCAGAGACGCTCTCCACAGCCCCACGCACACGGAGACAAGAAGCCATTCAATTGCTCTGTGTGTGGGAAGTCCTTTTCATGGCCATCAGATCTTCAGAGACACCAGAGAACACACACGGGCGAGAAGCCATTCCTGTGCCCTGTGTGCGGGAAGACATTTGCACAATCGACAACTCTTCAAACTCATCAGAGAACGCACACGGGCGAGAAGCCATTCCTGTGCCCTGTGTGTGGGAAGACATTTGCAGACTCATCAACTCTTCAAACTCATCAGAGAACACACACGGGCGAGAAGCCATTCCTGTGCCCTGTGTGTGGGAAGGCATTTGCACACTCATCAACTCTTCAAGATCATAAGAGAACACACACGGGCGAGAAGCCATTCCTGTGCTCTGTGTGTGGGAAGAAATTTGCACACTCATCAACCAGGAATAGGCATCAGAAGGTCCACAATGATAGGAAACTGAAATCAAAAGCTGAAATTCAAGGTGCTGCAATGAGTCCTGAAGAAGTTTCCACCTTCGATCCCATGCAGTTGGATCCCGAGAGATGGCTGGATGTAATGGAGTGGCTCGAGAGTCAACCAGAGAGCTCGGGGTGACTGAAAAAATATTACGTTATGTGGTTATACCTATTAAGCCGTTTCGAGTACTTTTGTGTGTAATTTTGACCATTTTAGTTTTACAGTTTTTGTGAGAGTTTAATTACGTGCACAGTGGTGGTTTGTAATGTTATCGGATTACTTGCCGAATTGGTGTGAAGAGCACTGGCTGTGAGAGGGTTCCATTGTAGTCGTTAAGTGTCCCTGTTGAGCTAAAGTTGAAATGCCTCTGTAGGTACATCTTTACTCAACATTTTAAACGTTTTTTTTTTCAAGTATATAGCTTTTTTTGATTGGTATTAATCGACTTTAGATAGCCGATTCCAGGATGTACATTCACGCGTTCGTTGGATATATGGCCTTGACTTCAACATAGACCCACAGTGAACAAATGTGGTGAACTAATAAGGAAATCATGATACTTTAACGATTTGGTATTCCTGGAACGGAAATGGTTTGCATTGTACTGGAAATGTAATAAATATTCCCTTCGAGTTTTGACGTGAAATTATTGCAGATGAATAAAAACGTATTTTTAACAAATGTTTGTCCGGTCTTTATTTTATAATGTTCCTAGCAAAAACATGTTAAGCTAATTTCAGGTGGAGGATCTTTGTCACACAAGTGTGCCCTTACCCGGCAGCATCTTGGCTGTCTACCCGATTAACACGCGTTCCTTGAGGGGAAAGGTCCCCGTTGTTAATCGTTTCTCAACGTACCAGTCCCTAATCCCGAAGTATGCTGGGAATAAACTGTACTCTGTAACATGTGAACTGTAATACTATAAACGATAACACTAAACATTAAAGCAATCATTGGAAGGACGTAGTAAACCATTTCGATACACATTAGGGTGTGTAGAATAATACATAGTGTTATATTAAAATGTATAAGGTATAGGTTGGTTTACAGCATTACAGTATATAATTTAATGTTGGTCTATCTATGGCAGTATATAGTACGGTATATGCTCGTGTGATGTAAGAGAATAAAGTTTAGATGTAAGCATATTATATAATTTTTACGACGTAGAATTGTAATATATTACTTGCTGTAACTCAGCTTATTGTAGAGTATAGTAAGTATACTGATGGTGCTATGCAGTTTATACTTTAGTTTTTTATGTAGTTTATACTTTAGTTTTCTACGTGGTTGTTGAGTAACTGCAGCTACATATCATTAACATTCCTTTCCTTTGTTACTGTTAATCCCTGCACCCCCCATTGGTGCTGCTGATCCTGCATAATGCATGGGAATAATATGACTTTGAAACACCCCCCCGCCCACCTCCTACGCATTTGCCATGAATATGCTAAATTCCTCTTCATATGCACATTCTTTTTGTTAAGGCGCTCTTCCACCTCTAACGCAGCTTATATATAAGCTCCTAGCTTGGTAGTGTCTCATTCTTCACCTGAAGACGGCTGCTTGCGTTGTAGCCGAAACGTCGTGAGAATGTTTTTATTTTTATTATTTTATTACTTCCCTTCTACGTGACTTTACCGAAAGAACCAAGAAGAAGACTATAAAGTAGTGTTTAAATTTAGAACCACATAAACGGAGGCAAGGTATTATTATCTCAGAAGCATTAGAATCGGTGTGGTCGTATTAGAATCACACTCTGCTCATATGTATCTATGGTCTACGTGCAAGGATCGGATACAATTATTAAAATTACAACACGGTCGTATTACAATAACGATTTTCACTACTAGATGAAGGTCTCATCTCAATGTCATCGAATAGCAAAATACGGAATATTTATATATAAATACTTAGAAAAACACCACTGTCACATGACAAATTCTCAAACTGCAACACTCAAGTGACAGAACAAAAAAAAGCCTAAAAAAAGAACAATGGACAAATAAAAAAAAGGTCACCACACGCATGTTAGTAGCTGTTAGAAGAAGACAACACCTAGCACCTTCAACTCTACACATTGTACAGCCCCAAAGAACCAACTCGTAAATGTGGCGGTATTTGACAGCCTTTGAACATCTTACTTTCGTTCTCGATTAATGAAGACATTCTTGGCAAATGCTATCGCTTTCGCTCGTCATTTGCCTCCTACTTATTGGTCTCAGTTTTCGAGAACCAACAAAATAGATGTGATGTCCTCAATTTTTCCAAGCTGCACAATTCACGGTTGCAGACTGCTTTGAACAGCCAAATGTTATCACAGTAAACAATTCGGACCACAGCAGGACACTCAATCTCGAGCATCTGCGAAGCAACGATATGAGCGGGCTAAGACCTGCAGGTTTATTCGAGTGTTGACGTTATTTTAGCTATATAGTTAAGTACACTGTATGTGATAAGAATTCGTCGACATGGCAGGTGTCTTGTTCTCCTTAATCAACCAAAATTATACCAAATTACGTCATAAATGAGTGTGAGCTAATTCTTCGGTGGTATTCGCTAAACACCGATGGCACGAACCTACACTTAAGTCGCTTAAATCTCAGCTCAGGATCATCTCTATTATTTCCATGAACGTGTGGGGTCCCACGAGAGCAGGGCCGGCCACAAAAATTCGGGCAGTAGTTTGAGCAGAAGCAGAAGTCGCTTCTTTGCCATCGGACGGTTTCGTAGCTTCTGTAGTTGCTTCTGTTACTGTTATATACGCAGCATGTTGATGTCCCGTGATGGGATAACGCCTTTGATGAAAAACTCAGATCCAACAAGTCACCTTCCTTGTCTAGACGCATTCTAAACACAATACTGTACTTAAATGTTGCTAAAATAACGTCTACACCCAATTCAACATGCAGTTCCAACACGGCCATGAGCAACCCACAGCACGCCCAGAGGGAGGAGACCACGAGGGAGACGGCCTCAACTTGAAGAGAAAGTTGACAAACTCACGGATGCCATCACCCAGCTGCTGCAACGCCTGTCGGATGAGACGCTGCGTCCCGCGGCACCAACCAGGCGAGTAAAGGAAGAGCAGAGCCCGCATCGGATGCCGCCACCCGAACATCAGCAGCAGTCGATAGCGTGATTTTAATAGGACCACGTTGTTAATATACTCATTTTAATGCGATTCTAAAACGCGCACCTCCCAGGTTGCATTTACGACTCGCGATGTTCATCTACATATAACATACATTCTAGCTCAGTGTAATTCTAATACGACTATAGTGTTATTCTAATCATTTTAATCCGATCCTAATCCCCCAGTTCGCATATCCGACCCCCGGTTCGCATGTCCAACGGACATACATATCACATACATACGACCATAGTTTGTATGTATGTAATATGCATACATATGTGCAGTGTGATTCTATTACGATCACATTGTGATTATAATACTTCTAATGATATTCTAATATTGATTTGAAGCTTTCGTGACTGCAGGAATTAATACTCGTTGGTTCTTTCGGTAAAGTCACGTAGGTAGAAATGAAACAAGGTAAATCACGTTTCGGACGAAACACAAGCGCCCGTCTTCAGGTGAAAATCGCGATATCCGCGATGTCTGCTGCGAGCAGCACGATGTCTGCTGCAGACATCGTTTCGGGCGCTTGTGTTGCGTCCGAAACGTCGTGATTTATTTTGTTTTATTTCTTCCTACGTGACTTTGCCGAAAGCACCAAAGAGTATAGATATCCTAATACTGTCCCTCCGTTTACGGTATTATAAATTACATAAAAAACTAGTTTATAGTCGTTTCATGTTATCTTTAAAGTGTTACAGTTTACGTGTGTTAGAGAACACGGGTGCCCGCTCCGCCTGTCGCCGTGGAGACTTGTGCGCTGTGAGGGCTCACACCCACCGTAAACACCCGTTCCGCGGTCCCTTTAAACGAACGTGATCACCCGCTCGCGGCGGTCGCGCGTGTGCCCTTCAAAGTCATTCGCCCTCCGAGCCCCGTTCAGAGCGTGTGATCGCTGCGCGGGGCTGTGTGAGGGGAGGCGTCGCATTGGATTGGCGGAGAGGCAACGATGTGTTTACAGGCGTACGGGAGCCGGCGACGAGCCATGTCCCTCTCGCGAACCAGGGAGGGGAACCGTCGGGCGACAGTCCTTACCCCGCGAGCGATGAGCCCAGCGGCGGCAGCAGCTGTTCGCAGACCAGCGAGGGGTCGGGGAACGGCGGGACCCCTGCAGTCGGCGCCCAGCAGGGAGAGGCCTCGGGGGCCAGCGGCAAAGACAGGACCACGGTGTGAAGCTAAGACTTCGAACGAGATTCGAATATCACACTTCAATGTACGGTGTTCTAATCTGTAACACTAGTTTATGATGTTAGTTTATAGCGTTACTAGCTGTACTACCCGGCTTCGCCCGGGACTTGTATCCACCACGCCCGGCCGCCTTTGTCTCCCCAGTGGCGATGTTAATACGCCACACCAGTTACTTGTTTTGAGGCTGAGTCCCTCCCTCACCGCTCTCCCTCCCTCACCGCTCTCCCTCCCTCACCGCTCTCCCTCCCTCACCGTTCTCCCTCCCTCACCGCTCTCCCTCCCTCACCGTTCTCCCTCCCTCACCGCTCTCCCTCCCTCACCGCTCTCCCTCCCTCCCTCCTCTCTCCCTCCCTCACCGCTCTCCCTCCCTCACCGCTCTCCCTCCCTCACCGCTCTCCCTCCCTCACCGCTCTCCCTCACCGCTCTCCCTCCCTCACCGCTCTCCCTCCCTCACCACTCTGTAGAGGACGTGAAACTTTGATGAATTTATCTCAGAGTCGCGTGGTGGGTGTCGAGGCCTAGCACCGTGTAGATCCTCCGACATCGCCTGATTTTCCCACCCGGCTGAGGCAGGGTACGGGTGCCATCCCCCCCCCCCCCCCCCCCCCGCGCTACAATAATACTGTCTAATCGCTATAATTTTATAATCTACCGACCCTATAATAGTAATTGCACACATTGTGGTGGGGGGGGAGTGAAGAGGACGTGAAACTTTGCTGAATTTACGTCAGAGTCGCGTGTTAATGCGTGCGCCTATTTTTAACGGGAATTAAAAATGGCGTCCACCCCGCGGCGAAGGCGTCGCTACCCATTGCCAGGGGCAACCGCCGTCCAATGAAAGCGGCGAAGGCGTCGCTACCCGTTGCCAGGGGCAACCGCCGTCCAATGAAAGCGGCGAAGGCGTCGCTACCCGTTGCCAGGGGCAACCGCCGTCCAATGAAACTGCGTATGGTCCGGCGACACACAGACACACACACAGACAGACAGATTCGCGATTTTATATATATATACATAATGTATCGCTCACAGCTTATATTGCTAGAGTTCACAACATTATAGTTTACTATAACACTAGTTTGTAGTGTTATTTTAAAGGGTAAGGCGCTGTGACTGGAGTTAGGCGATGTGACTGGGTGATCACCACACGGATTCCGAAACACAGCGGAGACGGTACATTACACCGAGCTCCGTCTCCACATGGACAACGACATTCTCAGTTTTAAAAAATGAATAGAAATGTTTATATACGTTTTTGAAATCATGTGTATTGTATATATGTTATAATGTGTGATTGTTATACTCTTTACCACACATTCATCCAACAGTGGACAGTGTGATTCTAATACGACTATAGTGGGATTCGAATAATTGTAGTTCGATTAGAACAACCTACATTGAAGTGTGATATTCGAATCGCATTCAAATTATTCGAATCACTCCGTGGTCCTCTTCGAATCACACTACGGTCGTAAGTATGTAGCATGCATGCAACATGTCCGTATGTAGTAACTATATGTGCATTTTATATGTGTGTTTGTAGTAAGTATATGTGCATGTAGCATGTCTGTACGTAGTAAGTATATATGCATGTAACATGTCTGTATGTAGTATGTATGCATGTAGTATGTATGCATGTAACATGTATGCATGTAACATATATGCATGTATGTAATATGGACGTGCGAACCAATGGTGGGATATGTGAAACGGAACGTGCAGAATCAGGATGGGATTCCAATTATTTGAATAACACTTTGGTGGTATTAGGATCAAGCTGTCTACTGCTGGATGTTAATCTCAATGGCATCAAATAGCAATATTCAGTATGTATATATAAAATAATCACACAAACCCAATATTACATACATACATGTTACATGCACAGGTTGTTCTAATCTATTACACTAGATAATAATGTTATTGTATAGCGTTATAATGTATCGCTTGAGGCCCGGGGTGCCTCAAGGATCCGCCACGTGCGAGGAACCGGTGCCTGGAGCCTGGTCAAATTCTTCAAAAGAAGCCAGGGACCTGCCTAATCCTTCAAGGCTGCGGTGCGAACCCTTGACGCCCCGACATGCACAAGATTCTACCATGGGCGCGGGACGGGCGTCGAGAACCAGGTCAAAATGCGCCAGGTTGCGCTTGTAGGCTCCACGCAAAATATTAATGCTGTATAGTCTATTCTGTGCCATTGCGATGTAACATTCTACCAGCAGTGGGCAGCTTGATTCTAATACGACCATGGTGCGATTTTAATAATTTTGATGCGATTCTAAATCTGTCACCACCCAGGCCGCATTTACGACTCCCGATGTGCATCTACATTTAACATACATTCTAGCTCAGTGTTATTCGAATACTACCAAAGTGTTATTATAATCGTTTTAATCTGATCATAATCCTGCACCACCCAATTCGCATATCCGTCCACCGGTTCGCATGTCCAAAGGCCACAGATGCATATTACATACGTACATACGAGCACAGTTCGCTTGCACATACACTATACATACATATGCGCAGAGTGTGATTCTAATACGATCACATTGTGATTCTAATACTTCGAATGATATTCTAATTTTGAATTGACGCTTTCTTTCGGTAAAGTCACGTAGGTAAAAAAATATATAATAATTATAATAAATAAATGAAAATAACTAAATTACATCACGTTTCGGAAGCAACACCAGCGTCCGTCATCAGTGTGTCTACTGCACTCTCCCCACATGAACCTCGACATTCTCAGTTTCCAAAAAATTGAACATATATTTTAAAAATAAGTTTTTGAAATCATGTGTATTGTTTATATGTAAAAATGTGTGATTGTTATATTCTTTGCATGTGTGTATGCTGTATATAGCTATTCTATTACATGGATACGACACATTCATCCAACAGTGGACAGTGTGATTCTAATACGACTAGTGGGATTCGAATACTTGTAATTCGATTCTTATTCTGCATATCCTACCCCTGGTTCGCATATTCACTTACCATACGTACGACCACAGTGTGAGATATTAGCATGATGTTAATGTAATAAATAAGCATGTAACCGTAGAATAGGAGAGCGTCCTCCTCGACGAGGGAGTGCAACCCAACGGGTGAAATCCAAAGGGCATGAGAGCATGAGATATAATATTATATGTTTGAGTTTAACATGTGAGAGTTTACAATGTCAGAGTTGATCAAATGCGCCGATCAAGGGCGTTAATCGGGTGTTATAATATGTGATTGTTATACACTTTATCTGTTTACATACCGCATATAGCTATTCGATTAAATTAACATGACATTCATCCAACAGTGGACAGTTTGATTCTAATACGACTACAGTGGGATTTTAATAATTGTAATGAGATTCAAATCTTGCATGTCCTACCCCCGGTTCGCATTCACTTAACATGCATATGGCCACAGTGTGATTCTAGCATTATCACAGTGCGATTATAATTATTATTATGCGATTATAATCACGAACCTCCATTTATGTTGTTCAAAACTAATAATACCGTACCTCTGTTTTTGGTGTTATAAATGATGATACTAGATAATAGATTATAGTATTTAAATTATTTGTGTTATCGTTGATAGTGTTCCAGTTCACATGTCATACTTGATGGTTAGGGACCGTAACGTTGCGAATAGATTTGTAATGGGGACCTTTCCCCTCCAGGGACCCATGTTAATGGAGAGACAGCCAAGATGCTGCCGGTTAAGGGCAGATTTGTGTGACGAAGATCCTCCACCTAAAACTCGCTTAAAACACGTTTTTGCTATGAACATTGTAAAATAAATAAACGGACAAACATTTGTTAAAATACGTTTTTATTAATCTGCAATAATTTTTACGTTAAAACTCCAACCGAATATGTATTATGTTCTATGTTCAAACAGTTACAGTACAGTGCAAACCATATCCGTTCCAGGAATACCAAAGCGTTAAAGTATCATTCCCCATGATTTCCTTATTAGTTCACCACGTTTGTTCACTGTGCGTCTATGTTGAAGTCAAGGCCATATATCCAACGAACGCGTCATCAATGTACATCCTAAAGTCGATTATTACCATCCAAAAAAAGCTTTATACTTGAAAAAAAACCCGTTTAAAATGTTGAGTACAGATCTGACTACAGATGCATTCTAACTTTAGCTCAACAGGAAGACTTAAACACTACAATATTGTCCGGAATTGAACCATCTCACAACCACTGCTCATCACACCACTTCACAAAGTAATCCGACAACATCAAAACTCACCACCTGCACGTCAAGAAACTCTCAAACAAACTGTAAAACTAAAGGGTCAGAATTACGCACAAAAGTACTCAAGACAACTTAATAGGTATAACCGCATGCAACATTATATTTAAGTCACCGCTAGCTCTCGGGTTGATCCTCGAGCCACTCCATTACATCCAGCCATCTCTCGGGATCCAACTGCATGGGATCGATAGTGGAATTATCTTCAGGAATCATTGCAGCACCTTGAATTCCACCTTTTGATTTCAGCTTCCTATCATCGTGGACCTTCTGATGCCTCTTCCGTTTTGATGACCGTGCAAATGACTTTCCACACACAGGGCACAGGAATGGCTTCTCGCCTGTGTGTGTTCTCTGGTGTCTCTGAAGATGTGATGACTGTGCAAATGTCTTCCCACACACAGGGCACAGGAATGGCTTCTCACCCGTGTGTGTTCTCTTGTGACTCTGAAGATGTGATGAGTGTGCAAATGCCTTCCCACACACAGAGCACAGGAATGGCTTCTCACCCGTGTGTGTTCTCTTGTGACTCTGAAGATGTGATGAGTGTGCAAATGCCTTCCCACACACAGAGCACGGGAATTGCTTCTCACCAGTGTGTGTTCTTTGGTGTCTCTGAAGATGTGATGGCCATGAAAAGGACTTCCCACACACTGAGCAATTGAATGGCTTCTTGCCTCCTTGTACGTGGGGCTGTGGAGAGCGTCTCTGCTCCATGTGAGCGTAGTAACAGTAGCGGTGTTATTGAGTTAAAAGTACGCTGTCGGCCGCAAGGATTTTTAGCGTTGAGTTTTGGATTTTGTTAACTGCTAAAACGACGACACGCAAAAAAATCCCGCTAATTTAACGACGAACACGTTTAAGAGTTTATCCGCGAAAATAGACACTTACTTGGAGATTCACGGTATATCGATGTCTGGAACCCGTCTGAAGATGTCGCCACGAACTCTGCCGATGCAAAGTCGCCTAACTGTCGACACAGCAATTGTGCTCGCCAGGCTGCGTTGTCTCGCGGTTGAAGGGCGATCAGCAGAGCGACGAGTCGAGCGTCCAACCTCATCAAGTTCCCTCTCGAAATGGCATTGTGCTCTGCTTCTGAGCCGCCTTATAACTCTCCCCTCGGATCCAATCCTTTGTCTTTCAGGATATTTGCATTCGATTGTTAATTTTGGAAGGCACAATCCGCATGTCTATTAACATACCGAAGGGTAATGTGCCCATTGTGCTTCATGCATGAATATGTAAGTGCATCTCAGTGTGTAATTGTGCGCTTATTTTGAATAAATGGGATTAGCGCTGGAAAAAAAACGTTCCCCATGCCCTCCATTGTCCTCGATTTAAAGTGAATGCAGCCCCGTGGCGTTGCCAAAAACCGCCAAGCTTCGGGAGTGAGCACGTACAGTCGCGTAGTGACCACACTTGCAATACAATCACTCTAACATCAGTAACCAAAATCCGATCTGGTACGTGGTCTCCGCTTGGTCTGGTTTGTATCCGTCATAACTCCGGAGACAAACAGCGAGGCATGGTTTGGCCAGCCACCAACTCATTTGCCAAAACGACTTTAATAGCTGCTCTCAAACAACACTATCACCAATGGTTGTCTACAGGCGAGGCTGTTAAGCGGACAATCAGTCGTTTTGGGCAAGGCGCATGGGATAATACACACCAAAAACACAATATACAGCAGAGGGGAAAGCTGTCTTGTTGGGGAGATGTAGTTTGGGTAAGGCGCTGTGACTGGAGTTAAACATTCGCTGCTTGGCCAAGTCGACAGCAGCGGAGACGATCCGATCCACCGTGCTCTATCTCCCCACAAGGTCCACTAAATTCTTGTTTTTTTTTAAAATGAACGTATGTTTTTCAAATCACATGAAATGTAATTATGTTATAATATGTGATTGTTATACACTTTATATGTTTACATAGCGTATATTGCTATTCGATTAAATTAACATGACATTCATTCAACAGTGGACAGTTTGATTCTAATACGACTACAGTGGGATTTTAATAATTGTAATGAGATTCAAATCTTGCATATCCTACCCCCGGATCGCATTCAGTTAACATGCATATGGCCACAGTGTGATTCTATCATTATCACAGTGCGATTATAATTATTACTAGCTGTACTTCCCGGCTTCGCCCGGGACTTGTATCCACCACGGCCGGCCGCCTTTGTCTCTCCAGTGGCGATGTTAATACGCCAGACCAGTTACTCGTTTGAGGCTGAGTCGACCTATGGGAGGTTCAAATAATCTTGACCGGTGGTGGCCGTGAGCGGGAATCGAACTCGGTTCGCCGGGTTGGTAGCGCAGCGTAGCGTTAACCACTACACCCACCGCTCCTCACACACCACACACGCACAGACACACACACAGACACACACACATAGACACACGCAGACACACACAGACAGACACAGACAGACACACAGACACACAGACAGCACCCTAACCACTACACTACCGCTCCTCACACACCACACACGCACACACACAGACACACACACAGACACACACACACAGACAGCACGCTAAGCACTACACTACCGTTCCCCCTACACAACACACGCACGCGCGTCCATAGGTACACATACACGCGTTTGCTGCAGACACACACGACTGTCAGGGTGCGTACGGCAGTAAACGACTGCAATAATAAAGCGGCAATACTGCGCGAGGAACGCCTTAGACCTGCAACACATTTGTGTAATGCGAGTGTAAACACACAAACACATACAAACACATACACACACATACATACACACACATACACACAAACACATACACAATACACACACACATACATGCTGACACACAGACACACACATAACACACATACATACACATACATACACAGAAACACATACACAGAAACACATACACATACATACACACAAACACATACACACACGTACATACACACATACATACAGACACGCAGACATACACATAAACACATACACACATACACATGACCCGGCTTCGCCCGAGACTTGGATCCACCCCACCCGGCCGCCTTTGTCTCCCCAGTGGCGATGTTAATACGCCACACCAGTTACTCGTTTGAGGCTGAGTCGACCTAGGGGAGGTTTAAATAATCGTCACCGGTGGTGGCCGTGAGCGGGAATCGAACTCGGTTCGCCGGTTTGGTAGCGCAGCGTAGCGTTAACCACTACACCCACCGCTCCTCACACACCACACACGCACAGACACACACACAGACACACACACATAGACACACGCAGACAGACACAGACAGACACACACAGACACACAGACAGCACGCTAACCACTACACTACCGCTCCCCACACACCACACACGCACAGACACACACACAGACACACGCAGACACACACAGACAGACACACACACACACACAGACACACAGACAGCACGCTAACCACTATACTACCGCTCCCCACACACCACACACGCACACACACAGACACACACACAGACACACACACACACAGACAGCACGCTAAGCGCTACACTACCGTTCCCCCTACACAACACACGCGCGCGCGTCCATAGGTACACATACACGCGCTTGCTGCAGACACACACGACTTTGAGGGTGCGTACGGCAGTCAACGACTGCAATAATAAAGCGGCAATGCTGCGCGAGGAACGCCTTAGACCTGCAACACATTTGTGTAATGCGAGCGTAAACACACAAACACATACAAACACATACACACACATACATACACATACACACAAACACATACACACACATGCATACACACAGACATACACATACACACAAACATACATACACAATACACACACACATACATACAGACACACAAAGATCCCCCGTATAGCCTGAACAGACTGTAGGGGCAAGTGCTGTTAGCGAGCACCTATGAAGGCCGGAACGGTACACGAGGGGGTGGGTGGCCAGCACCACGCCCGGCCGGCTTTGTCTCCCCAGTGGCGATGTTAATACGCCACACCAGTTACTCGTTTTGAGGATGAGTCCCTCCCTCGCCACTCTCCCTCCCTCGCCACTCTCCTTCCCTCACGACTCTGTAGAGGACGTGAAATTTGTATGAATTTACCTCAGAGTGGCGTGTTGGGTGTCGAGGCCTAGCACCGTGCAGAGCCTCCCGCCTTGCCTGATTTTCCCACCCGGCGAACGCTGGGTACGGGTGCCGGTTCCCCCCCCCCCCCCCGCGCTATTAAAAATGGCGTCCACCCCGCGGCGAAAAGTTGCTACTCGTTGCCAGGGGCAACCGCCGTCCAATGAAAGCGGCGAAGGCGTTGCTAGCCGTTGCCAGGGGCAACCGCCGTCCAATGAAAGTGTGTATGGTCCGAAATCCACACACACATACACAGACAGACAGACATGCACGATTTTATATATATAGATTCTGACCTTACTCCCTCCCTTTGATGGTGCTAATCCTGCATAATGCATAGACATAATGACTTTGAAACCCCCCTGCCCACCTCCTACGCATTTCACAAGTAATGCAAATCACATATCTGCATTTCCCATAAATATGCTAAAATACTCCTGATATGCAAATGATTTTGTCAAGACGCTCTTCGCTCCTCCATCGCAGCATAAATAGTCGCTCCAAGCCTGGAGCGTGACATACAGACTCCGTCTACTTGACGGACCTGTTCTCCACCTGAGGACGGCTGCTTGCGTTGTGGCCGAAACGTCGTGAGAATTATTTAATTATGTTTTATTTTCATTATTTTATTACCCTTCTACGTGACTTTACCGAAAGAACCAAGAAGATGTATATTGCTATTCGGTTCCATTGAGATGGAACATTCTACCAGCAGTGGGCAGCTTGATTCTAATACGACCATGGTGCGATTTTAATAATTTTGATGCAATTCTAAATCTGGCACCACCCAGGCCGCATTTACGACTCCCGATGTACATCTACATATAACATACATTCTAGCTCAGTGTAATTCTAATACGACCCTAGTGTTATTCTAATCATTTTAATCCGATCATAATCCTGCACCCCCCCGTTCGCATATCCGACCACCGGTTCGCATGTCCAAAGGCCATAGATGCATATTACATGGATGCGAGCACAGTTCGCTTGCACGTACACTATTATGCACGAAATTCTCAGTTTTTTTAAATGAACGTAGTTTTTTCATATCATATGAAATGTAATTATGTTTTAATATGTTGTCTGGAATTGAACCCTCTTACAACCACTGCTCATCACACCACTTCACCAAGTAATCCGACAACATCAAAACTCACCACCTGCACGTCAAGAAACTCTCAAACGAACTGTAAAACTAAAGGGTCACAATTACACACAAAAGTACCCAAGACAGCTTAATAGGTATAACCGCATGCAACATTATATTTCAGTCACCCCGAGCTCTCAGTTTGATCCTCGAGCCACTCCATTACATCCAGCCATCTCTCGGGATCCAACTGCATGGAATCGAAGGTGGAATTATCTTCAGGAATCATTGCAGCACCTTGAATTTCAACTTTTGATTTCAGCTTCCTATCATCGTGGACCTTCTGATGCCTGTTCCATTTTGACGACTGTACAAATGTCTTCCCACACACAGGGCACAGGAATGGCTTCTCGCCCGTGTGTGTTTTCTTATGATCGTGAAGAGTTGATGACCGTGCAAATGCCTTCCCACACACAGAACACAGGAATGGCTTCTCACCCGTGTGTGTTTTCTGGTGACTCTGAAGATATGATGACTTTGCAAATGCCTTTCCACACACAGGGCACAGGAACGGCTTCTCGCCCGTGTGCGTTCTCTGGTGTCTCTTAAGATCAGATGGCCATGAAAAGGACTTCCCACACACAGAGCAATTGAATTGCTTCTTGCCTCCGTGTACGTGGGGCTGTGGAGAGCGTCTCTGCTCCATGTGAGCGTAGTAACAGCAGTGGTGTTATGGTGTCAAAAACACTCTCGCGTCTAATCGAGACGCAAAGAATTCCCGTAAATTTGACGACGAACACGTTTAAGAGTTTATCCGCGAAAATAGACACTTACTTGGAGATTCACGGTATATCGGTGTCTGTAACCCGTCTAAAGATGTCGCCACGAACTCTCCCGACGCAAAGTCGCCTAACTGTCGACACAGCAATTGTGCTCGCCAGGCTGCGTTGTCTCGCGGTTGAAGGGCGATCAGCAGAGTGACGAGTCGAGCGTCCAACCTCATCAAGTTCCCTCTCGAAATGGCCTTGAGCTCTGCTCCTGAGCCGCCTTATAACTCCCCCCCTAGGATCCAATCCTTTGTCTTTCAGGATATTTGCATTCGATTGTTAATTTTGGAAGGCACAATACGCATGTCTTTTAACATACCGAAGAGTAATGTGCCCATGAATATGTAAGTGCATTTCAGTGTGTAATTGTGCGCTTATTTTGAATAAATTGAAAAACTTTGTCCTCGATTTCAAGTGAATGCAGAGAAATTAGCATGTAACTTTAGAAAAGGAAGAGAGCGACCTTCTCGACGAGGGAGTGAAACCCAATAGGTAATATTCTTTTACAGCGTTACAATAGATAGGTTGTAGTTCATAGGTTATAATATTATATTTCACTATGATAGAGCTTAACATGTGAGAGTATACAATATCAGAGTTGATCAAATGCGACAATCAAGGGCGTCAATCGGGTGAGTTTTATCGGAGACTTTAATCAAAGGCGTCATCCCATCACTGAACCCCGGGTTCCCCCCCGCCATCATCCCCTATTCCGTTTACGTTACCCCACCTCCCTATTACCCGCTACGGTTTCGCCGGCATTCGAACGCGACGCCCCTACTGTTACAGCCTCGCGCCGCGCTCCCACGCCGCGAGCATACGTGCGCACAGCATCATCAATCACACGCCACACTCCCCCTCTTTACACCGCTACGTGCAGCTCTCGCACGCTGCGAGCGTGTGCCCGTCTACAGCCCGGTGCGGCACTCGCCTCTACGTCGAATAACCACGTGACCCATGCGCTCCCGTATCCGACACGTAGTTCACAAGATCATAGTTTACTATGTATAACTCATAGTTTAAAGGATATATTGTTCGAGTTTATAATGTTAGAGTATACTACGTGAGTTTACAATTTGAAAGTTTGTGGACGTGCCCTGTTCTCGTGGGACCCGACACGGATTTGTAAATATTTGCTATGATCATGTCTGAGCTGGGATGAGCGACTAATGTTTACTTTGCTTAATCATAACTGTGTGCAGGTTAGTGCCATCGGGGCTTAGTGAATACTACTCATGAATGAACTCATTCTTCTTTCGGTAGAAATTTGAAATCGTGTTGGTAGAACAAGTCGCCTGCCTTTTCTAGGCGAATTGTTATCTTCAAGTGCGTCCGTAAATATACCGCTAAAATACACAGCATAGGGAAGGCTGCCTTGTTTGGGAGATGTAGTTTGGCTAAGGCGCTGTGGCCGGGTGATGACACGGATTCTGAAACAATGGAGTTAAACACTCGCTGCTTGGCCCGGTCGACAGCAGCGAAGGCTGTCATATACCGCCCCATTTACGAGTTGGCTGTATAATGTGTATAGTTGAAGGTGCTAGGTGTTGTCTTCTTCTAACAGCTACTAACGTGCGTGTGTTGTCTGTTTTTAGGATTAATTCCGACATACTTCGGAATTAAGGACTGGTACGTTGATGAACGATTAACTACGGGGATCTTTCCCCTCAAGGAACACGTGTTAATCGTGTAGACAGCCAAGATGCTGCCGGTTAAGGGCACACTTGTGTGACGGAGATCCTCCACCTGAAATTATCTTAACATGTTATTGCTAGGAACATTATAAAATAAAGACCGGACAAACATTTGTTAAAAATACGTTTTTATTGATCTGCAATCATTTTTACGTCAAAACTCGAAGGGAATATTTATTATGTCCTATGTTCACACATTTACAGTACAATGCAAACCTTTTCCGTTCCAGGAATACCAATGATTTCACCACATTTGTTCACTGTGCGTCTATGTTGAAGTCAATGCCATATATTCAACGAACACGTCAATGTACATCCTGGAATCGGCTATCTAAAGTCGATTAATACCAATCAAAAAAAGCTAAATACTTGAAAAAAACGTTTAAAATGCTGAGTAAAGATGTACCTACAGACGCATTCCAACTTTAGCTCAACAGGAACACTTAACGACTACAATTGAACCCTCTCACAACCAGTGCTCATCACACCACTTCGGCAAGTAATCCGATAACATTACAAACCACCACTGTGCACGTCATTAAACTCTCACAAAAACTCTAAAACTAAAATGGTCAAAATTACACACAAAAGTAATCGATACGGCTTAATAGGTATAACCACATGACATAATATTTTGTCAGTCACCCGAGCTCTCTGGTTGACTCTCGAGCCACTCTATTACATCCAGCCATCTCTCGGGATCCAACTGCATGGGATCGAAGGTGGAAACTTCTTCAGGACTCATTGCAGCACCTTGAATTTCAGCTTTTGATTTCAGTTTCCTATCATTGTGGACCTTCTGATGCCTGTTCATGTTTGATGAGTGTGCAAATGCCTCCCCACACACAGGGCACAGGAATGGCTTCTCGCCAGTGTGTGCTCTCTGATGAATCTGAAGATGTGATGACTGAGCAAATGTCTTCCCACACACAGGGCACAAGAACGGTTTCTCACCCGTGTGTGTTCTCTGATGGTTCTGAAGAGTTGACGAGTGTGCAAATGTCCTACCACACACAGGGCACAGGAATGGCATCTCGCCCGTGTGTGTTCTCTGGTGACTCTGAAGATGTGATGAGTTTGCAAATCTCTTCCCACACACAGGGCACAGGAATGGCTTCTCGCCCGTGTGTGCTCTCTGATGAATCTGAAGATGTGATGACTGAGCAAATGTCTTCCCACACACAGGGCACAAGAACGGCTTCTCGCCCGTGTGTGTTTTCTTATGATCTTGAATAGTTGATGACCGTGCAAATGCCTTTTCACACACAGAGCACGGGAATGGCTTCTCACCAGTGTGTGTTCTCTGGTGACTCTGAAGATGTGACGATTGTGCAAATGTCTTCCCACACACAGGGCACAGGAATGGCTTCTCGCCCGTGTGTGTTCTCTGATGACTCTGAAGATGTGATGAGTTTGCAAATTTCTTCCCACACACAGGGCACAGGAATGGCTTCTCGCCCGTGTGTGCTCTCTGATGAATCTGAAGATGTGATGACTGAGCAAATGTCTTCCCACACACAGGGCACAAGAACGGCTTCTCGCCCGTGTGTGTTCTCTGATGGTTCTGAAGAGTTGACGAGTGTGCAAATGTCCTACCACACACAGGGCACAGGAATGGCTTCTCGCCCGTGTGTGTTTTCTGGTGACTCTGAAGATGTGACGAGTGTGCAAATGCCTTCCCACACACAGAACACAGGAACGGCTTATCGCCCGTATGTGTTCTCTGGTGTCTCTGAAGATTTGATGGCCGTGAAAATGCCTTCCCGCACACAGAGCAATTGAATGGCTTCTTGCCTCCGTGTGCGTGGGGCTGTGGAGAGCCTCTCTGCTCCATGTGAGCGTAGTAACAGCAGCGGTGTTATCGAGTCAAAAGTACGCTATCGGCCGCAAGGATGTTTAGCGTTGAGTTTTAGATTTTGTTAACTGCTCAAACAAGAACGACACTCGCGTCTAACCGAGACGCAAAAAAATCCCGCTAATTTGTCGGCGAACACGTTTAAGAGTTTAATCGCGAAAATAGACACTTACTTACTTAAATGCGGCCTGGGTGGTGCCATTGCGATGGAACATTCTACCAGCAGTGGGCAGCTTGATTCTAATACGACCATGGTGCGATTTTAATAATTTTGATGCTATTCTAAATCTGGCACCACCCAGGCCGCATTTACGACTCCCGATGTGCATCTACATTTAACATACATTCTAGCTCAGTGTAATTCTAATACTACCAAAGTGATATTCTAATCATTTTAATCCGATCATAATCCTGCAGATTTGTGTGACGACGATCTTCCACCTAAAACTCGCTTAAAACACGTTTTTTCTATAAACATTATAAAAGAAATAAACGGACACACATTTGTTAAAATACGTTTTTATTCATCTGCAATCACTTTTACGTCAAAACTCGAATGGAATATTTATTATGTCATATGTTCAAACAGTTACAGTACAATGCAAACCATATCCGTTCCAGGAATACCAAAGCGTTAAAGTATCATTCCCCATGATTTCCTTATTAGTTCACCACGTTTGTTCACTGCTCGTCTATGTTGAAGTCCAACGAACGCGTCATCAATGTACATCCTAAAGTCGATTATTACCAACCAAAAAAAGCTTTATACTTGAAAAAAAAAACGGTAAAAAAAATGTTTAGTAAAGATCTAACTACAGATGCATTCCAACTTTAGCTCAACAGGAAGACTTAAACACTACAATATTGTCTGGAATTGAACCATCTCACAACCACTGCTCATCACACCACTTCACCAAGTAATCACTACCTGCACGTCAATAAACTCTCAAACGAACTGCAAAACCAAAGGGTCAGAATTACACACAAAAGTACTCAAGACAGCTTAATAGGTATAACCGCATGCAACATTATATTTCAGTCACCGCTAGCTCTCGGTTTGATCCTCGAGCCACTCCATTACATCCAGCCATCTCTCGGGATCCAACTGCATGGGATCGAAGGTGGAATTATCTTCAGGAATAATTTCAGCACCTTGAATTTCAGCTTTTGATTTCAGTGTACTATTATTGTGGACCTTCTGATGCCTGTTAAGAGTTGACGACTGTGAAAAAGCCTTCCCACAAACAGAGCACAGGAATGGCTTCTCGCCCGTGTGTGTTCTCTGATGGTTTTGAAGAGATGACGAGTGTGCAAATGTCTTCCCACACACAGGGCACAGGAATGGCTTCTCGCCCGTGTGTGTTCTCTGATGACTATGAAGATTTGATGACTTTGCAAATGTCTTCCCACACACAGGGCACAGGAATGGCTTCTTGCCCGTGTGTGTTCTCTGATGAGTTTGAAGAGTTGATGAGTCTGCAAATGTCTTCCCACACACAGGGCACAGGAATGGCTTCTCGCCCGTGTGTGTTCTCTGATGACTCTGAAGAGTTGACGATTGTGCAAATGCCTTCCCACACACAGAGCACAGGAACGGCTTCTCGCCCGTGTGTGTTCTCTGATGACTATGAAGATTTGATGACTTTGCAAATGTCTTCCCACACACAGGGCACAGGAATGGCTTCTCGCCCGTGTGTGTTCGCTGATGACTATGAAGATTTGATGACTTTGCAAATGTCTTCCCACACACAGGGCACAGGAATGGCTTCTCGCCCGTGTGTGTTCTCAGGTGTCTCTGAAGACTTGATGACCGTGCAAATGCCTTCCCACACACAGAGCAATTGAATGGCTTCTTGTCTCCGTGTGCGTGGGGCTGTGGAGAGCGTCTCTGCTCCATGTGAGCGTAGTAACAGCAGCGGTGTTATTGAGTCAAAAGTACGCTATCGGCCACAAGGATGTTTAGCGTTGAGTTTTGGATTTTGTTAACTGCTAAAACTCGTGTCTGAACGAGAGGCAAAACAAATCCCGCTAATTTGACGACGAACACGTTTAAGAATTTATCCACGAAAATAGACACTTACTTGGAGATTCACGGTATATCGATGTCTGGAACCCATCTGAAGATGTCGCCACGAACTCTCCCGATGCAAAGTCGCCTAACTGTCGACACAGCAATTGTGCTCGCCAGGCTGCGTTGTCTCGCGGTTGAAGGGCGATCAGCAGAGCGACGAGTCGAGCGTCCAACCTCATCAAGTTCCCTCTCGAAATGGCATTGAGCTCTGCTTCTGAGCCGCCTTATAACTCCCCCCCTAGGATCCAATCCTTTGTCTTTCAGGATATTTGCATTCGATTGTTAATTTTGGAAGGTACAATCCGCATGTCTATTAACATACCGAAGGGTAATGTGCCCATTGTGCTTCATGCATGAATATGTAAGTGCATCTCAGTGTGTAATTGTGCGCTTATTTTGAATAAAAACTTTGTCCTCGATTTAAAGTGAATGCAGAGAAATTAGCATGTAACTTTAGAAAAGGAAGAGAGCGGCCTTCTCGACGAGGGAGTGAAACCCAATAGGTAATCTTCTTCCTAGCGTTGTTCCCGCTGTGGCGCAGGGTCCGCTTTTCGGCATTGTCTTCTCCATTTGGCTCGGTCCAGGGCATCTTCAGGGGATGCGTTGACCGTCTTTATGTCTTCCTTTATTCGATCCATCCATCGCTTCTTCGGACGTCCGCGTGGACGGCGGCCCTCTGGCTCAATACGCATGGCAGTCTTGGCCACTGATGACTCTTCACTTCGCATCACATGGCCGTACCACCGAAGCCTTGCCTCAAGCATCTTGTCCTCAATGGGGGCCACAACACATCGATTCCGAACGTCTTCGTTCATGACACGATCCCATCGAGTGAGTCCGAGGCTCCATCTGAGCATCCTCATCTCCATGGTGTGGAGAGCTTGTTCGTGTACAGTTGTGGCTGGCCAGCACTCGGATCCATAGAGTGCCACCGGTCGGACGATGGTCTTGTAAATTTTTCCCTTCAGCCTATCCGGCATTTTCCTATCACAGAGGACTCCGGTGACTTGCCTCCACTTCATCCATGCCGCATTGACTCGTGACCTCACATCAGTCGTGATGCTACCATCTGAGCTGATGGTGGAACCCAGCTACTTGAAGTCCATCACTTTCTTCAGATCTTCTCCGTCAATGCTGATGGTGCCGTCGGTTTGGGGGCCACACTCCATATACTCCGTCTTTTTGATGTTGAACCTCATCCCGTTTTCGTCCAAACGTTCTTTCCACAGGCGCGTTTGTCTTTCCACTTCTCCTCTCTCTTCATCTGAGAGGAGGACGTCATCCGCGTAGAGAATTGACCATGGCAGGGGCGTGTGCAGGTCGGCAGTGATCGTGTCCATGCACAGGATAAACAGGAGTGGTGACAGGGCCGATCCTTGGTGCACTCCAACGCGGATGGGAAATGGCGGTGATATGCCCACTGCACACCTGACTGCACTGGTGACGTTCTTGTATAGGAGTTGCACCCAATGCACGTAGGTTTCAGGGACTCCATGGGATCGAAGCGAGTGCCAGATGAGGTTGTGGGGGACCCTGTCAAATGCCTTATCAAGGTCGAGGAACGACACGTGCACAGCTTTGTTCTTCTCTCTGTGCCTCTCCAGCAGGAGCCTCGCCGCGATAATGGCGTCCGTAGTGCCACATCCTTTGACGAAGCCGCATTGGTTGGGTGATAGGGTGACGATGTTTCTAATCCTCGTGTCCAAAACTCGCTCAAAGATCTTCATCGCATGACACAGGAGCCGGATTGGCCTGTAATTCGAGCATTCTGCCACGGCCCCTTTACCCTTCCAAATTGGATCCGTCGTGCTGGTCGACCAGGCTTCTGGGACCTCACCGGTGCTCGTGATGGTGCTGAAGAGTTGGGTAAGGAGGGCAGCACCCTGCCTGCCAAGGATCTTCCAGGCCTCAGCAGGGATATCGTCCGGGCCAGTCGCTTTCCCATTCTTCATTCTCTTGATAGCTTGTTCCACTTCGGTGATGGTGATAGGTGAAACCGGATCGAGGACGTGTTCAGCGCTAATAATAGGTGGGTGGGGAAATTGCTGGTTGCAGATTCCAGAGAAGTAGTCGCTCCAGCGTTGAAGGATGGCGGGCGGGTCTCTGAGAGCGCTGTGATTCTCATCCTTTATGCATTTGACCTGACCAATATCCTGAGTCGAACGATGGCGCGCCTCTGCCAGTCGATAGATCTTATTGGCACCTTCTGGGGTGTCCAGTTCGACATACAGTTGGTCGTATTGAGCTAATTTCACCGCTGCTACTACTCGCTTCGCTGCCGATTTGCAGTTTCTGTATTGTTGGTAATCCAGATCTGCGAGCGTTTTGCGCCACTTCTTGAAAGCTAGCTTCTTCTCTTTCACTGCTAGCTGAACTTCTTCGTTCCACCACCATATTTGCTTGTCAATGAAGTGTTTTGCCGGCTTAGTTAGCCCCAGTGCTTCCGTTGCTGCTGTGCACAGTTGGCCGGCGAGATCTTCCCAAATCGCATTCACTGGTCGGTTGATGTTCACGTCAATCTGATTGAGGGCGACTCTCAGCTGATCTTTGCATTCCTTCATCCGCCACCACTTAATTCGCTGCTGTTCCGTTGTTGGTGGGCGATGTCGCTGGCCAATGTCCATTTTCATGTCCATGATCAGGATGCGATGTTGTGGGGTGATGTTGTCCGATGGTATGACTTTAGTGTTTGTCACCGTTTTCAGCTTATCCCGCTTGACAAGCCAGAAATCAATTTGAGTTGATCTCCCACCACTGGCGTACGTAATGAGATGGGACGGTCTCTTCTTGAAGAAGGTGTTGGCGAGGACAAGATCATGGGCTTCCGCAAAGTCCAGGGCTCGGTTTTCCTCATCGTTCCGGGTACCATATCCTTGGCCACCATGGTTTCGAGGGTATCCATCCCGGGCGTTTCCAACGTGTCCATTTAGGTCTCCACCAATTACTAACTGCTCTTCTCCATTTATTTGATTGCATGTGTCCATCAATTGTTCCCAAAATTCCTCCTTGGTATCTGCTGGGCAGCCAGGCTGCGGCGCATACCACCAAAGTGTTATTCAAATAATTGTAATCCCATCCTGATTCTGCACCTTCATGTTTCACATATCCCACCATTGGTTCGCACGTCCATATTACATACATACATGTTACATGCATACATATTACATACAGACATATCTCATGCATACATATTACATACAGACATGTTACATACTGACGAGCAAATTGTGATTCCTAGAGGACCACGGTGTGAAGCTAAGAATTCGAATTCAAATATCACACTTCAATGTACGGTGTTCTAATCTTTAACACCAGTTTATTGTTATTTTATAGCGTTATAATGTATAGCTCATAGCTTATATTGTTAGAGTTCACAACATAATAGTTTACTATAACACTAGTTTGTAGTGTTATTTTAAAGCGTTACAATGCATAGCTCATAGTTTAAAGGTTATATTGTTAGAGTTTATAATGTTAGAGTATGCTCTGTGAGTTTACAATTTGAAAGTTTGTGAACGTGCCCTATTCTCGTGGGACCCGACACGAATTTGGAAATAATTGCTATGATCATGTCTGAGCTGGGATGAGCGACTAATGTTTACTTTGTTTAATCATAGCTGTGTGTAGGTTAGTGCCATCGGTGCTTAGTGAATACTACTCATGAATGAACTCATACTTCTTTCGGATATAAATTGAAATCATGTTGGTAGAACAAGTCGCCTGCCTTTTCTAGACGAATTGTTATCTTCAAGTGCGTCCGTTAATATTCTGCTAAAATACACAGCATAGGGAAGGCTGCCTTGTTGGGACGATGTAGTTTGGCTAAGGCGTTGTGGCCGGGTGATGACACGGATTCTGAAACAATGGAGTTAAACACTCGCTGCTTGGCCCCGTCGACAGCAGCGAAGGCTGTCATATACCGCCCCATTTACGAGTTGGCTGTATGATGTGTATAGTTGAAGGTGCTTGCTGTTGTCTTCTTCTAACAGCTACTAACGTGCGTGTGTTGTCTGTTTTTAGGATTTGTCCATTGATGTTGTTCTTTTTATTGCGACGTTTTTATGTTGAGTTCTGTCACTTGAGTGTTGCAGTTTGTTTAAGAATTCGTCACGTCAGCGTGGTGTTTTGTTTGTGGGAATTTCGCTTTGTCACAATTTGTGATTGTTATAATAATTGTAACGTTTCATAATGTCATGAGTTTATAATGGGTTTGTGCGTGGATTTATATAAATATATTCCGTCTTTTGTTATTCGATGACATCTAGCAGTGAAAATCGTGATTGTATATGACCATGTTGTAATTGTAATAATTTTTATCCGATCCTTGCACGTACACTATACAAACATATTAGCGATTCTTATACGACCACACTGTAATTCTAATGATATTATAATACCTTACCTCCGTTTATATGGTTATAAATTGAAACACTAGTTTATAATCGTTTAAAGTTTAGTGTTATTATTTATAGTATTACAGTTTACATGTTATAAGGTACAACATACTTCGGGATTAGGGACTGGTACGTTGATGAACGATTAACTACGGGGACCTTTCCCCTCAAGGAACACGTGTTAATCGGGTAGACAGCCAAGATGCTGCCGGTTAAGGGCACACTTGTGTGACGGAGATCCTCCACTTAAAATTATCTTAACATGTTTTAAGCTTGGAACATTATAGAATAAAGACCGGACAAACATTTGTTAAAAATACGTTTTTATTCATCTGCAATCATTTTTACGTCAAAACTCAAAGGGAATATTTATTATGTCCTATGTTCAAACATTTCCAGTACAATGCAAACCATTTCCGTTCCAGGAATACCAAAGCGTTAAAGTTTCATTCCCCATGATGTCCTTATTAGTTCACCACATTTGTTCACTGTGCGTCTATGTTGAAGTCAAGGCCATATATCCAACGAACACGTCATCAATGTACATCCGGAAACCGGCTATCTAAAGTCGATTAATACCATTCAAAAAAGCTATATACTTGAAAAAAACTGTTTAAAATGTTGAGTAAAGATGTACCTACAGACGCATTCCAACTTTAGCTCAACAGGAACACTTTACGACTACAATTGAACCCTCTCACAACCAGTGCTCTTCACACCAATTCGGCAAGTAATCCGATAACATAACAAACCACCACTGTGCACGTAATTAAACTCTCAAAAAAACTGTAAAACTAAAATGGTCAAAATTACACACAAAAGTACTCGAAACGGCTTAATAGGTATAACCACATGACGTAATATTTTTTCAGTCACCCCGAGCTCTCTGTTTGATCCTCGAGCCACTCCATTACATCCAGCCATCTCTCGGGATCCAACTGCATGGGATCGAAGGTGGAAACTTCTTGAGGACTCATTGCAGCACCTTGAATTTCAGCTTTTGATTTCAGTTTCCTATCATTGTGGACCTTCTGATGCCTGTTAAGAGTTGACGACTGTGAAAATGCCTTCCCACACGCAGGGCACAGGAATGGCTTATCGCCCGTGTGTGTTCTCTGATGGTTTTGAAGAGTTGACGACTGTGCAAATGCCTTCCCACACACAGGGCACAGGAATGGCTTCTCGCCCGTGTGTGTTCTCAGGTGTCTCTGAAGACTTGATGACCGTGCAAATGCCTTCCCACACACAGAGCAATTGAATGGCTTCTTGTCTCCGTGTGCGTGGGGCTGTGGAGAGCGTCTCTGCTCCATGTGAGCGTAGTAACAGCAGCGGTGTTATTGAGTCAAAAGTACGCTATCGGCCACAAGGATGTTTAGCGTTGAGTTTTGGATTTTGTTAACTGCTAAAACTCGTGTCTGAACGAGAGGCAAAACAAATCCCGCTAATTTGACGACGAACACGTTTAAGAATTTATCCACGAAAATAGACACTTACTTGGAGATTCACGGTATATCGATGTCTGGAACCCATCTGAAGATGTCGCCACGAACTCTCCCGATGCAAAGTCGCCTAACTGTCGACACAGCAATTGTGCTCGCCAGGCTGCGTTGTCTCGCGGTTGAAGGGCGATCAGCAGAGCGACGAGTCGAGCGTCCAACCTCATCAAGTTCCCTCTCGAAATGGCATTGAGCTCTGCTTCTGAGCCGCCTTATAACTCCCCCCCTAGGATCCAATCCTTTGTCTTTCAGGATATTTGCATTCGATTGTTAATTTTGGAAGGTACAATCCGCATGTCTATTAACATACCGAAGGGTAATGTGCCCATTGTGCTTCATGCATGAATATGTAAGTGCATCTCAGTGTGTAATTGTGCGCTTATTTTGAATAAAAACTTTGTCCTCGATTTAAAGTGAATGCAGAGAAATTAGCATGTAACTTTAGAAAAGGAAGAGAGCGGCCTTCTCGACGAGGGAGTGAAACCCAATAGGTAATCTTCTTCCTAGCGTTGTTCCCGCTGTGGCGCAGGGTCCGCTTTTCGGCATTGTCTTCTCCATTTGGCTCGGTCCAGGGCATCTTCAGGGGATGCGTTGACCGTCTTTATGTCTTCCTTTATTCGATCCATCCATCGCTTCTTCGGACGTCCGCGTGGACGGCGGCCCTCTGGCTCAATACGCATGGCAGTCTTGGCCACTGATGACTCTTCACTTCGCATCACATGGCCGTACCACCGAAGCCTTGCCTCAAGCATCTTGTCCTCAATGGGGGCCACAACACATCGATTCCGAACGTCTTCGTTCATGACACGATCCCATCGAGTGAGTCCGAGGCTCCATCTGAGCATCCTCATCTCCATGGTGTGGAGAGCTTGTTCGTGTACAGTTGTGGCTGGCCAGCACTCGGATCCATAGAGTGCCACCGGTCGGACGATGGTCTTGTAAATTTTTCCCTTCAGCCTATCCGGCATTTTCCTATCACAGAGGACTCTGGTGACTTGCCTCCACTTCATCCATGCCGCATTGACTCGTGACCTCACATCAGTCGTGATGCTACCATCTGAGCTGATGGTGGAACCCAGCTACTTGAAGTCCATCACTTTCTTCAGATCTTCTCCGTCAATGCTGATGGTGCCGTCGGTTTGGGGGCCACACTCCATATACTCCGTCTTTTTGATGTTGAACCTCATCCCGTTTTCGTCCAAACGTTCTTTCCACAGGCGCGTTTGTCTTTCCACTTCTCCTCTCTCTTCATCTGAGAGGAGGACGTCATCCGCGTAGAGAATTGACCATGGCAGGGGCGTGTGCAGGTCGGCAGTGATCGTGTCCATGCACAGGATAAACAGGAGTGGTGACAGGGCCGATCCTTGGTGCACTCCAACGCGGATGGGAAATGGCGGTGATATGCCCACTGCACACCTGACTGCACTGGTGACGTTCTTGTATAGGAGTTGCACCCAATGCACGTAGGTTTCAGGGACTCCATGGGATCGAAGCGAGTGCCAGATGAGGTTGTGGGGGACCCTGTCAAATGCCTTATCAAGGTCGAGGAACGACACGTGCACAGCTTTGTTCTTCTCTCTGTGCCTCTCCAGCAGGAGCCTCGCCGCGATAATGGCGTCCGTAGTGCCACATCCTTTGACGAAGCCGCATTGGTTGGGTGATAGGGTGACGATGTTTCTAATCCTCGTGTCCAAAACTCGCTCAAAGATCTTCATCGCATGACACAGGAGCCGGATTGGCCTGTAATTCGAGCATTCTGCCACGGCCCCTTTACCCTTCCAAATTGGATCCGTCGTGCTGGTCGACCAGGCTTCTGGGACCTCACCGGTGCTCGTGATGGTGCTGAAGAGTTGGGTAAGGAGGGCAGCACCCTGCCTGCCAAGGATCTTCCAGGCCTCAGCAGGGATATCGTCCGGGCCAGTCGCTTTCCCATTCTTCATTCTCTTGATAGCTTGTTCCACTTCGGTGATGGTGATAGGTGAAACCGGATCGAGGACGTGTTCAGCGCTAATAATAGGTGGGTGGGGAAATTGCTGGTTGCAGATTCCAGAGAAGTAGTCGCTCCAGCGTTGAAGGATGGCGGGCGGGTCTCTGAGAGCGCTGTGATTCTCATCCTTTATGCATTTGACCTGACCAATATCCTGAGTCGAACGATGGCGCGCCTCTGCCAGTCGATAGATCTTATTGGCACCTTCTGGGGTGTCCAGTTCGACATACAGTTGGTCGTATTGAGCTAATTTCACCGCTGCTACTACTCGCTTCGCTGCCGATTTGCAGTTTCTGTATTGTTGGTAATCCAGATCTGCGAGCGTTTTGCGCCACTTCTTGAAAGCTAGCTTCTTCTCTTTCACTGCTAGCTGAACTTCTTCGTTCCACCACCATATTTGCTTGTCAATGAAGTGTTTTGCCGGCTTAGTTAGCCCCAGTGCTTCCGTTGCTGCTGTGCACAGTTGGCCGGCGAGATCTTCCCAAATCGCATTCACTGGTCGGTTGATGTTCACGTCAATCTGATTGAGGGCGACTCTCAGCTGATCTTTGCATTCCTTCATCCGCCACCACTTAATTCGCTGCTGTTCCGTTGTTGGTGGGCGATGTCGCTGGCCAATGTCCATTTTCATGTCCATGATCAGGATGCGATGTTGTGGGGTGATGTTGTCCGATGGTATGACTTTAGTGTTTGTCACCGTTTTCAGCTTATCCCGCTTGACAAGCCAGAAATCAATTTGAGTTGATCTCCCACCACTGGCGTACGTAATGAGATGGGACGGTCTCTTCTTGAAGAAGGTGTTGGCGAGGACAAGATCATGGGCTTCCGCAAAGTCCAGGGCTCGGTTTTCCTCATCGTTCCGGGTACCATATCCTTGGCCACCATGGTTTCGAGGGTATCCATCCCGGGCGTTTCCAACGTGTCCATTTAGGTCTCCACCAATTACTAACTGCTCTTCTCCATTTATTTGATTGCATGTGTCCATCAATTGTTCCCAAAATTCCTCCTTGGTATCTGCTGGGCAGCCAGGCTGCGGCGCATACCACCAAAGTGTTATTCAAATAATTGTAATCCCATCCTGATTCTGCACCTTCATGTTTCACATATCCCACCATTGGTTCGCACGTCCATATTACATACATACATGTTACATGCATACATATTACATACAGACATATCTCATGCATACATATTACATACAGACATGTTACATACTGACGAGCAAATTGTGATTCCTAGAGGACCACGGTGTGAAGCTAAGAATTCGAATTCAAATATCACACTTCAATGTACGGTGTTCTAATCTTTAACACCAGTTTATTGTTATTTTATAGCGTTATAATGTATAGCTCATAGCTTATATTGTTAGAGTTCACAACATAATAGTTTACTATAACACTAGTTTGTAGTGTTATTTTAAAGCGTTACAATGCATAGCTCATAGTTTAAAGGTTATATTGTTAGAGTTTATAATGTTAGAGTATGCTCTGTGAGTTTACAATTTGAAAGTTTGTGAACGTGCCCTATTCTCGTGGGACCCGACACGAATTTGGAAATAATTGCTATGATCATGTCTGAGCTGGGATGAGCGACTAATGTTTACTTTGTTTAATCATAGCTGTGTGTAGGTTAGTGCCATCGGTGCTTAGTGAATACTACTCATGAATGAACTCATACTTCTTTCGGATATAAATTGAAATCATGTTGGTAGAACAAGTCGCCTGCCTTTTCTAGACGAATTGTTATCTTCAAGTGCGTCCGTTAATATTCTGCTAAAATACACAGCATAGGGAAGGCTGCCTTGTTGGGACGATGTAGTTTGGCTAAGGCGTTGTGGCCGGGTGATGACACGGATTCTGAAACAATGGAGTTAAACACTCGCTGCTTGGCCCCGTCGACAGCAGCGAAGGCTGTCATATACCGCCCCATTTACGAGTTGGCTGTATGATGTGTATAGTTGAAGGTGCTTGCTGTTGTCTTCTTCTAACAGCTACTAACGTGCGTGTGTTGTCTGTTTTTAGGATTTGTCCATTGATGTTGTTCTTTTTATTGCGACGTTTTTATGTTGAGTTCTGTCACTTGAGTGTTGCAGTTTGTTTAAGAATTCGTCACGTCAGCGTGGTGTTTTGTTTGTGGGAATTTCGCTTTGTCACAATTTGTGATTGTTATAATAATTGTAACGTTTCATAATGTCATGAGTTTATAATGGGTTTGTGCGTGGATTTATATAAATATATTCCGTCTTTTGTTATTCGATGACATCTAGCAGTGAAAATCGTGATTGTATATGACCATGTTGTAATTGTAATAATTTTTATCCGATCCTTGCACGTACACTATACAAACATATTAGCGATTCTTATACGACCACACTGTAATTCTAATGATATTATAATACCTTACCTCCGTTTATATGGTTATAAATTGAAACACTAGTTTATAATCGTTTAAAGTTTAGTGTTATTATTTATAGTATTACAGTTTACATGTTATAAGGTACAACATACTTCGGGATTAGGGACTGGTACGTTGATGAACGATTAACTACGGGGACCTTTCCCCTCAAGGAACACGTGTTAATCGGGTAGACAGCCAAGATGCTGCCGGTTAAGGGCACACTTGTGTGACGGAGATCCTCCACTTAAAATTATCTTAACATGTTTTAAGCTTGGAACATTATAGAATAAAGACCGGACAAACATTTGTTAAAAATACGTTTTTATTCATCTGCAATCATTTTTACGTCAAAACTCAAAGGGAATATTTATTATGTCCTATGTTCAAACATTTCCAGTACAATGCAAACCATTTCCGTTCCAGGAATACCAAAGCGTTAAAGTTTCATTCCCCATGATGTCCTTATTAGTTCACCACATTTGTTCACTGTGCGTCTATGTTGAAGTCAAGGCCATATATCCAACGAACACGTCATCAATGTACATCCGGAAACCGGCTATCTAAAGTCGATTAATACCATTCAAAAAAGCTATATACTTGAAAAAAACTGTTTAAAATGTTGAGTAAAGATGTACCTACAGACGCATTCCAACTTTAGCTCAACAGGAACACTTTACGACTACAATTGAACCCTCTCACAACCAGTGCTCTTCACACCAATTCGGCAAGTAATCCGATAACATAACAAACCACCACTGTGCACGTAATTAAACTCTCAAAAAAACTGTAAAACTAAAATGGTCAAAATTACACACAAAAGTACTCGAAACGGCTTAATAGGTATAACCACATGACGTAATATTTTTTCAGTCACCCCGAGCTCTCTGTTTGATCCTCGAGCCACTCCATTACATCCAGCCATCTCTCGGGATCCAACTGCATGGGATCGAAGGTGGAAACTTCTTGAGGACTCATTGCAGCACCTTGAATTTCAGCTTTTGATTTCAGTTTCCTATCATTGTGGACCTTCTGATGCCTGTTAAGAGTTGACGACTGTGAAAATGCCTTCCCACACGCAGGGCACAGGAATGGCTTATCGCCCGTGTGTGTTCTCTGATGGTTTTGAAGAGTTGACGACTGTGCAAATGCCTTCCCACACACAGGGCACAGGAATGGCTTCTCGCCCGTGTGTGTTCTCTGATGACTCTGAAGATGTGATGAGTGTGCAAATGTTTTCCCACACACAGAGCACAGGAATGGCTTCTCACTCGTGTGTGTTTTCTGGTGTCTCTTAAGACTTGATGACCATGAAAATGCCTTCCCACACACAGAGCAATTGAATGGCTTCTTGTCTCCGTGTGCGTGGGGCTGTGGAGAGCGTCTCTGCTCCATGTGAGCGTAGTAACAGCAGCGGTGTCATCGAATCAAAAATACGCTATCGGCCGAAAGGATGTTTAGCGTTTAGTTTTGGATTTCGTTAACTGCTAAAACAAGAACGACACTCGCGTCTAACCGAGACGCAAAAAAATCCCGTAAATATGACGACAAAACACGTTTAAGAGTTTATCCGCGAAAAAAGACACTTACTTGGAGATTCACGGTATATGGATGTCTAGAACTCGTCTGAAGATGTCGCCACGATCTCTCCCGACGCAAAGTCGCCTAACTGTCGACACAGCAATTGTGCTCGCCAGGCTGCGTTGTCTCGCGGTTGAAGGGCGATCAGCAGAGCGACGAGTCGAGCATCCAACCTCATCAAGTTCCCTCTCGAAATGGCATTGAGCTCTGCTTCTGAGCCGCCTTATAACTCCCCCCCTAGGATCCAATCCTTTGTCTTTCAGGATATTTGCATTCGATTGTTAATTTTGGAAGGTACAATCCGCATGTCTATTAACATACCGAAGAGTAATGTGTCCATTGTACTTCATGCATGAATATGTAAGTGCATCTCAGTGTGTAATTGTGCGCTTATTTTGAATAAATGGAAAAACTTTGTCCTCGATTTAAAGTGAATGCAGAGAAATTAGCATGTAACTTTAGAAAAGGAAGAGAGCGGCCTTCTCGACGAGGGAGTGAAACCCAATAGGTAATATTCTTTTACAGCGTTACAATGGATAGGTCGTAGTTCATAGGTTATAATATTATGTTTCACTATGATAGAGCTTAACATGTGAGAGTCTACAATATCAGAGTTGATCAAATGCGACGATCAAGGGCGTCAATCGGGTGAGTTTGAACAGAGGCTTTAATCAAAGGCGTCATCCCATCACGGAACACCACCTCCCTGCGTTTATTACAGCAACAGAAGCAACTACAGCAGCAACAACAGCAGCAACATCACATTTCGAGGGCGACGCAGCTACTTCCGATTCTGCTGCCCAGCTGTTTGTAGTCGGGACCTGCTCTCGCAGGACCCCACACGTCTTTGGAAATGATTGCGATGATCATGTCTGAGCTCAGAATTAAGTCACTCAAGATTACTTTTTTAACCATAACTTTAGGTAGGTTAGTGTCATCGGGGCTCTGTGAATACTACTCATGAATGAAATCACACTCCTGTATGACCGACATTGTACTAATTTTGGTTGATCGAGTAGAACAAGGCACATAACATGTCCAGACGAATTCTTATCAACAACAGTGTCCTTAAATATGATGCTAAAATAAATGTTAACACTGGATTAAACGTGCACCTCTTAACCCCTCCCTCGCATTTACGACTAACAATTTGCATTTGCACATAACATACATTCAAGTACAGTAATTTTCTAAAACGACCAAATTGTCATTCTAAAATTTGAATGCCATTCTTACCCTCGGCCCCCACAGTTCACATATCCGACCGTCGGTTCGATTGAACGGACAATTAACAAACATGTGTAGAGTTCCATTATAATACTTCTAATGAAATTAAAATACCGTACCTCCGTTTATGGTGGTATAAATTATAAAACCAGTTGGTAGCTTTTTTTGTCGTTTAATGTTTAGTGTTATTGTTTATAGTGTTATCAATTTACGTGTTTTTAAGTACAGGTGATTCCCGGTATACTTCGGTATTCTGGACCTGAACGTTGCACCGTCTCTCTGGGGAACCGTGTGGTGTGTGTAGCGAGTATCACGGGGTGGGCGGGTAGTGTGGTGATAGTGGTCACGGTCGGCACTGATGCACGACCACCGCCACCACCCCTACTGGGCGGTGGACCTGCCACCACAAAGCAGCACGCGGCGGAGGAGTGAGGCGATCGCTCTCGCCACGCGAGCGAGACCCTCTCGCTTCCTCTTCTTTCCGTGCATCTCCACCTGCACCTCTTCCGGTTTCTCCTCCGTCTCGTCCTCCTCCATCCCCTCTTCTTCATCCTCCAACACCATCTCCTCTACCTCCTCTTCCTGCGCCACCTCCATCTTCTCCATCTTCTTCTCCTCTGCTAGCACCATCTCTTCCTCCTGCATCTCCTCCTCAACCTCCGGCACCACCATCTCCAACACCGTCTTCTCTTCCTCCTCCACCACCATTGTTTCCCCTTTGCCCGTCGTCTCCATGTCCTCCACCACGACCATCTGTTCATCCTTTGTTGTTTCCTTGTCCTCCATCTCCGTAATGTCTTTCTCCTCTCCCTCCGTGTTCTCCTCCATTGTCACCATCACAATCTCGTCCTCCTTTGCCTTCTCTTCCTCCGATTTCTCCTCCTCCTCTGTCTCTACCTCATCCTCCATCATCTCCTCCTTCACCTCTTGCTTCGTCTCCTTCTCCACAACCTCTGTCTTCACTTCAAAGGCCTGGACGAGTGAGGAGGAGGGCTGAGCTGGCTCAGATCTGTGAAGAGACAACACGACACCGTTCTAGATTTGAAGCTTTCGTGACTGCAATGATTCATATTTTTAGGTTTTTTCGGTAAAGTCACGTAGGTAAAAAAACATTAAAAAGTAAAATAAAATAACATAAAAATAAAAATCACGACGTTTCGGAGGCAACACAAGCTTCCGTCTTCAGGTGGAACCGTCACAGCCACGACAGCTGTATCAGGTAAATGAGAGATTGCAGAAGCTACCACTTCGTTTATATAATGGTTGGAGAAGGTGGTGGGGCAAGGGCCGCGTACTTTTATTAATATGGTAAGGTGAGGCTTAAGACTAAGAATAGACTGCATATCAAAGGCTGAGCCTTTGTTATGGAGAGGTGCGGTTTGTGACTCAACCTGTAACAGGGAGACCACCACTAGACATGGTAAAACTGATGGTTGTCTGTCAAACACGACATCGTTCCACCTTGCTGCTACGGCAGACATCGCCATCTCCCCATCGTCCGTGGGTGGAATGTGTGGCGGATTAATTCGAGCTGAATAGAAACAGCAATAACGACATGGCCAGTGAGTGTGCATAGTATTGGTGCTGTCATTCTCATGGCGCCAGGCTATCCTTGAGATAGGTGCAGCTGTGTCTCACACAGACTGCTGTAGTTTCACAGTAGTGGGTGGCGTTGCTGTGCAAATTTAGCTGAATAATTTGAAGTGACATTTTTTTGGTTCTTTCGGTAAAGTCATGTAGGTATAAAATAAAATAAATTAAATCACAACGTTTCGATTGTAACACAAGCAATCATCATCAGGTGGGAAACTACAGCAAGAAACGTTCTTGCAATAACGACATGGCCATCGAAACGTCGTGATTTAATTTAATTTATTTTATTTCATACCTACGTGAATTTACCGATATAACCAAAGAATATGGATCCCTGTAGTCACTAAAACTTCAAATCTAGATTGAACATATTCTATATGTATATACTAATTGACCCCTTGCACATAATGTCCTAAGCATTTCAAATGGCATCGATAGAGATCCTGAACGTCCACTGTGACGGAATGGGTGTGGATCTGTGTGGTCAATGCAGCAGCAATAATAGCCAAGGCGGGAAGCAAGATCTGAACTGTAATGGTGAAGAATGAGTGCACGACCATTTGGTCGCTTCAACACATCCACGATTTCGAAAAAGTGTCCGTAAGTGATTTGTGGTCGAGAGAGCCACCTCCCTTGACGTCGAAGACATCTCAGAGTGCGCATTGCATGCGATGAGCCTCTCGCATCTCTCATCTCATCGCGTTTTAAATTGAACACCCCTCTCAGTGGTAGCTATCGCTGTGCATTACAAAGCGACTTGGTACCTGGCCTGGAAACAGGCGATAGACAGCGAAAATCTCACGGTGGATGGAGGGTTACATGGTGAAGATATGCCCACTTTGTTATGTGGTCTAACCCAAAAACCAGTAATGAAAAATAAATCTGTCCACAGTATAGCGGAATGTACACGTGGGGTTTGCAGTGTCTGTGAATTTTGAGAGCGCGACAGGGCATGAGCACCTGTGCATCACAGCAACATTGACCTGGGTTTGAGTTCCACGTTTGGCCACATTCTCCGTGTGGATTATGCAGCCACCTGTTCTGGGAAGGTTCTGCAGCTTTCTCCCTGTTACTAAACCCACACAAGCAATGCAAATCGTTCAATTTGGATCGCAAACAGCCGCAACTTTCTTGCAAAATGCGAGCAAACTTGGCAGAATCCTCCTAAAAAAAAGTCTTGAGACCGAGTAAGGCTGATGCTGCGTGAGAAGCATGGTAATAAATAACAAAGATAAACACACAGGGCGCACACGCAGAGTGGTTTACCGTGGCTCAGCGACTCCGGAGTTTGCTTTATCTTCTTGGAAGCCCTCTTCTTCAAAGCTCGGAGCTATTGGGCCCCACACAGGATTGGAGGACGTGGTGGTGGTGGAGGTGGTGTCAGTGGTAGTGGTGGCGGTGGCGGTGGCGGCGGTGGTGGTGCTGCTGCTGGTGGTATCGGTCTGGAGCCATTGTCGCTCGATCTTGGCGAGGCGCTGCTCTTCCTCGAGGCGCTTTTGCTCCACAAGACGCTTCTCCTCCATCAAGTGCTCCTCCTCCTCTTGACGCTTCACCTCAACGAGGCGCTTCTCCTGAATGAGACGTTTCTCCTCGAGGACCTTCACCTTGCGAAAGCGCCTCTCCTCAAGTCGCTTATTTTTTTTCTCAAGACGCTTCAGCTCTATGAGACGCTTCACCTCAAAGAGGCGATTCTCCTCCATGAGGCGCTTCTCTTCCTCGACTCGCTGCACCTCAATGAGGTGCTGCTCCTCGACAAGGCGCTTCTCTTCTTCCACCCGCTTCTCCTCCATGAGGCGCTTCTCTTCCTCGACCCGCTTCACATCTATGAGGCGCTTCTCTTCCTCCAGATGCTTCTCCTTGAGACGCTTCACCTCGCAAAGGCGCTTCTCC